AGGGGCATAGCATAACAACAACATACCACATGGGAAGCAAATCTTGGGAGATCAAATAAATTTGCTTCTCTTTCTCTCTCCACCCCACCTGCCCCCCTTCCCGATTTTACATGGCCAAAAAGTGGGCAAAGAAAAAGGAAGGAAAGCAACAGATATGACATCACAGGATCTCCCTATGCGATTGGGTGGGCCACCCCTTGCTTTCATCACCACTCCCTTCCCCCTTATAACCCTAGGCGTGGCAATTAGCCGGGCCTAGTTCTGGGCCTCTTCCGGGCTGGCCTGGCCCAATCAAGGCTTGGCCGGGCTGGACCTGATTTAAAAAAAACCAACATAAAAAAAGCAAAAAAAAAAAAAGGCTGAGCTACTAGTCTACGCTAAACGGGTCAGGCCTCTCGTCTTAGCCCTAGTTCTTTTCCGGACTCGGCCGGGCCACCGGCCTCCCCAAACCTCTTCATTTTCCACGACCCCATTATATTCCCTTTCTCTCTCTCTGCATCTCTTTCTCCCTCTATAAGGTTAAAATCCCTTATTAATCACTCTCTCTCTCTCTATGATCCCCACCTTTTATTATTCCACATCGTTGAAATCTTCAGGATCCTCTCTCTCTTTCATATTTTTGGGACGTTTGGAAATATTTTGGGGATTTGGGTGGAAAATCGGGTCGGATCTTCTCGCTTTCTGTTGAGTGGGATCTTATGGCTGGTGTCTCTATTTTTAGCCCATAATCAGGCATCCATTCCTCCTTAAAAACCTCCTCTAACCGTTCCCCATTTCACACGCACTCTTTCTCCCTCTAAACCATATACCCATTGAGCTTTTCATGTCTCTCTGTTCTCTTTCTGAATAAGGAGCTGAAGGAGAAGCTTTTGTTTGACCCATCAAGTTTTTGTATTTGTCTTGTGTTTTCTCTCTCTAAAGGATTTTGTGTTTTCTCCCTCTAGAGAATATAGAGGGCATGGCTAGACCAGAAACCCAGTTCCAAGAAACCCAATTCCATGTTCTTGCTGTTGATGATAGCCTTATTGACAGGAAACTTATTGAAAAGCTTCTCAAAACTTCATCCTATCAAGGTATTTGCTTCTCCCTCCCCTTTGTTAAGATTTTGCTTTCTATACCACTTTGTTTGATTACTTGATTTTGCTCTCTCTCTCTAAACGAAAAAATGGGGCTTCTCTCTCTCTAAAAAATATGGGTTTTTGTGCAGTGACTACTGTGGATTCTGGAAGCAAAGCTTTGGAGTATTTGGGTTTACAGGACAACCAACAAGACCCTGCTCTCTGTCCAAATCAAAATGTGAGCCTCTATTTTTTTTTTTTTATGTTTTCTTTTTGCTTTTTATTTCCAATTTTGTTCTTTTTTGACATTCAAAAAATTGAACAAAAAACTGGGTTTTGATTGTGCAGGAAGTGGAAGTGAATTTGATAATCACGGATTATTGTATGCCTGGAATGACTGGCTATGACCTCCTCAAAAAAATAAAGGTACTTTTTTTTTATTTTTGAGTTTTTCATTTTTTTTCTCTCTTCATTTTTGTCTCATGCAAATTAATCTCATCTCTCTGGAATTAACTCTTTTTTTCTCTCTATTTCTTCCAGGAATCATCATATTTGAAAAACATACCAGTTGTGATCATGTCATCAGAGAATGTGCCTTCCAGAATCACCAGGTAAAAACCCATTCTTTATTCTCTATCTTTTTCATTGTCTTTTTTCGCTAAATTTTATTCTGATTTTGCATATCAGTGCCTTTTTTTTATTCTTGAATTTTGACTTTGTGGGTGGAATCTATGCATTTTCTGCAAATTTTTTAAAAAAGGGCATAAAGTTCTATATTTGAGCGCACCAAATCTGTGTATTATTTACCCCTACGATTACATCAATAACCAGAAATAGATATGTCAGATTATCAGGAAAGAGAACATGTCCTCGGTCTTTTCGAATCTCTCTCTTTTGCGTTTGTGCTCAATTCTATCAATTTTTCATGGTGGAAAAAAATTTACTTTTTGTTTTAATTTTCGAATGGATAACTGCAAAATATTGTTGCAATCAGAATCTAGTTCTTTTTTTTTTTATCATCTGTTTCTCTCTCTACAATCATTCTTAGTTCTAAATATTTTTGTGGCTTAAAATCAGGTGCTTGGAAGAAGGGGCAGAAGAATTTTTCCTGAAACCGGTTCAGCTCTCCGACATGATCAAGCTTAAACCCCATCTCATGAAATCAGCGAAATCCATTAATCCCACCACTCTCTCTCCTCAAAAATCAAGCAGTAACCCCAACAAAAGGAAGCCCAACGCCATGTCCACCGAGTCCGCCCCTCTCTCTCCTCAGAGGAGAAGACCAAGATACAATGGCTTGACTGTCTCTGTGTGACAGTACTTTCTCTCTCTACATGGGCATAAACCTACAGCTATTACTTTTAGAGAGAAGGAGCAGAGTAAAGGAGAAGGCCTTTAAGAGAGAGAGAGAGAGTTGAGGCTCTCTGCAAGAAGGAAGAAAATGGTTTCCATCGATCTCTATCTAGATTCTAGAGGGAGAGAGAGTGAGTTAAAGAACGCCTTCTCTCTAGAGAGAGAAAACTCAAGACAGTTGAGGGACAAAGCCTAACAGAGTTGAGAAAGCAACATGATCTCTCTCTAAAGGGACAAAGTCTAATAGATTTGTGGAAGCAGCATGCTTTCTCTCTCTAACATGCTCTCTCTCTCTAGATGTCCATTTTCAATTTAGAAAGACAGAGCTCTCACTCTAGATGACCATCCTCTCTCTAAAGGCAAAGCTTGAGAGACAAGAGTCTTTCTTTCTCTCTCTAGAAAGGCATGGTCTCTTTCTGTAGAACCAAATTTTTTTTTTTTTTGGAGCAAAATACCCATGGTGATGGGTAATCTGTATACCATATGTACAGAACAAAAAAAAAAAAAACCTCTAATTCGTTTCAATTTTGCTGGAAACCTTAATAATATTGGAGAGAAATTTTTAAGATTTTGTGAAAAAAAAAAAATTACTTGATTTTGACTTACTTTTTGTGCCCAGTAACTATTTATTCTCAACAACATACCGTCAATAATAAGGCTTTCTAGAAATCATAATTATTATTGACCGTCAAATTTAAAATCCAGTGGTTCTCAAATAAAATTAGGAAAAGAGCCCAGTTTAATTGGTTAGTGATTGATAAATTGCAACTTAGGCTCTTTTCCTTTTTTTCTTATAAAATTAGGAAAAGAGCCCAGTTTAATTGGTTAGTGATTGATAAATTGCAACTTATGCTCTTTTCTTTTTTTCTTTTTTTTTTTTGGGGAGTCAACGAGCCCATACCTTTGGTAGGAATTGAGATGTGGCGTTACAATTTTTACTTCAAGCTATATCCTAGGTTCAATTCTTACTGAGGATAGGGTTTCTCCCTACTAAGTAGTTGTACTACGATGGATCCCAAAATTTAAATTTAAAAAAAAGAAAAAAATCTCCCAAATAGTCTTTTGCACAAGGAGGTGAATTTATATTATGCTCCCGTGGAAGTATAGTATATGTATTATAAAATGATTGTAACTTTTTTGGACTAAAAATGAATTTTTATAATAATCCAAAAAATGTTTGATTTGTTTTTATTGACCTATATCAAAGAAAAAAATTTATACAAGGTTGAACCTTAAAAAGTAAAATTAAAGATACACTTCAAAAATCCATCAGAAAACATTGTTTTAATGTTGAAAAACCCTCTAATTGATCATCTCGACATCAAGATGTATGAATATGAAAATAGATTTTGAGTCCCAAAAGATGTATGAATATGAAAAAAAAGAAAAAAAAAGATTTTGAGTCTTAAAAATAATATATCTTACAGCACATAATCTAGACCGTCTATTTTTAAAATTTTCACATGTTTATAGATCTACTTGATTTTAATTATTTTTTAAGTTTAAAATTTTATAATTAGATATGAAAATAGATTTTCAGATAACCCTACAAATGTTTTACACCAAAATTATATTTTATGATAAATTTTTGAGGTGAATCTTATTTGGGTGGTCTAAAATTGCAACCTTATAGAACCACGTCTTTTTTTTCTGTAGTTATTTTAAGCTAAAGTCTTTTTTTTTTCTGTGTTATTTTATTTTATTTGGTAAGTAAAGGAATCTTACCAACTTCTCCATAAGGTCAGAAAAATAAATGGTTTCTGACTTTTTTAATGAATTTTGGAATATTTGAAACGATTGTATCCACCGTCCACGGATTTCATACTAGGGTGGGCCCATATGGCTGGGATTGTTTCACAAATAACAATACTGACATTTTGTAACTTTATTACAATGGGTTTCCCAATAAAATATGGAGGAAAGGTTTTGACAAAATTTTTTCGCTATCGTTTGTAAATGTCACGCTTAAATCAGTCACCTTTTAAAAATCTATTTTTAAAATGGATTTTTGGACATGTAATCTCTAACACGGAGATTATGAATATGAATAATAAATTAATTTTAAAAATTAGATGCGATAATTCTATTAAGAGAATCTCTAACACGAAGATTATGAATATGTTAATTTAAAAAATTAGAAATGGTAATTCTATTAAGAGAATATTTGGACCGTAGTATTCCATTGTTTTTAGATAGACCACTTATTTGTATCCATCTTTAAGATGAATGTTTTATAACTTGAGACTGCATATTGTAGAAATGTGGTCCAGCCCGCATGAAACAATTTTTTCTTTGTAAAGAATATAGCTGATAATTCCCGAGAAAGGAAAAAGAGAAGAAGGTTCTACGAGTCGGTGGACTCATCTATTGATGTAGGTGCTACTTCCAAAAATCCATCTTAGAGATATATTGTAGATTTAAAATTTAGAAATGCATAATGAGACTATTTACTTTTTGATACAAAGATGTAACAAATATTATTGACCATTAAATGTGAAATTAGATAGGTAAGATTGTGTCATTGATTGAGCATAAAGTCTAAAATAAAATTTCTCCAATGTTGTGACACACTACAATATATTGAATTTCGCTCCAATGGTAAAAGTATTAGATATCCACTGGACCTTATAAACATAGGGTTTGAATAAATTATGTCTTTGTTGCATTTATTATCCTTTGTAACCAATTATCCCCACAATCATGGGATATACTTGGAGAGTTAGTTGATTATGAGGCTTGTAGCCTCTATATTACTGTGTACAGTAATGTAATACGCATCAAATTCTCCCTATTTTTTGTTTACGAATGGTAATTGTGATTTTTTTTTGTACTTAAAGTACATAATTTTTAAAAATCTTAGGAATTGGTAATATGAACCATGGTCAATATAAATAACAAAATAATTTAATTAAAAAATAGCAAATAATAGTTTTTGATGTATTCTTTTATATTGGGGAAAAGTTTATATAGAGCCGACGCTCTAAACAATCAAATTTGAGCCTACCTCAAAATTTTTACTAGAAGAGGTTGTTTGATGCCTAAATATCTTCAAATTGATCATCTCGACATCAAGATACATGGACATGAGAAAAAAATAGATTTCAAGTTTTGAAAATAGTGTATTTTGTAACTCATTTTTTGATCGTCAATTTCCAAGATTTTCAAGTTTTCATAGATCTATTGATCTATACTATTTTTGAAGCTTTAAACTTTATAAATAAATATGAAAATATATTTTAACGCTATCACAGTGATTTTCAGTATTGAAACCACATTTTCGACACTATTTTAAGGTAGGCTCTAATTTGGTTGTTTAGAGCCTAGGCTCTATACAAACCGCACCCTTTGTATTATTGGTTTATAGATTTTGATAGGACCACCAACTTTTAGCATCTTGCCACTTTCCAAAAAGAAAAAAACAAAGCCTTTGATCGTCCCTCAAATGGCCAGTTCCGGTCTAATCAAGGGCGACTTGACTTACGAGTAGTTTTGTTTCGAATTTTTTTTTTTTTCTTTTTTTTCTTGAATTATAGGAATTCATTTTGGTGCATTAATGATGACAAAATTGGTATTCCAAAGATATCCAATTGATCCTGGTTTAGAATTCATTGGTATGGATTCAGAATCATAAGTTCAAAATGAAAATTAGTGGTGATCAACCTAGTTGCTAGTAGAAATTGGAAATATCTGGCTGGGAACAAGGCTATTTAGATGGCTTGGATTGTTCGGTTCTCATCTATTTTATTATTTATTATTTTTAATTTTTAAAATAAAATTATTATTATTATTTTATTTTATTTTATTTATACTAATTCTCACATTGAAACTCGCCCTTGTTCATCTACCCAAAAAAAAAAAAATTGCCCTTGTTCATCTAACCAAAAAAAAAAAAATTGTCGATTCGGAAATAATTTTCAAAAAAGACTGGTTCAACCGGACAATCCAATTGTTGAAACATTGCATTTAACCATGCTTTTAGGGGACCAAACCGCACCTAATTAAATAATCGAGAAGCAATAGTTATTATTATTATTATTCAAAATATGCCTAAGAAATAAACTATTTAATATTTTACCCCTATCTTCTAATTTAATCTTAAAAAGTCGATAAAATACACATGAGTAGATGTTGAAATATTAGATAATCGATAAATTAAGGAACAATTACCCTTATTTGAATATGGGTGCGGTTTGTATAGAGCCTATGTTCTAAGCAATCAAATTAGGGCCTATCTTCAAATAATGTCAAAAAATGTGATTTCAATACTAGAAATCTTTGTGACAGCCTCAAAATATATTTTTATTTTTATTTATAAAGTTTAAATCTTCAAAAATAGTGTAGATCGACATATCTATGAAAGCTTGAAAATCTTGAAAATTGATGGTTCAAAAATGCGTTACAAAATACACTAGTTCCAATATCTTGAAATTCATTTTTTCTCATGTCCATGCATCTTGATGTTGAGATGATTAATTGAAGATATTTGGACATCAAAACAGCCTCTTCTAATGAAATTTTTGGGTAAGCACTAATTTGATTGTTTAGAGCTTCGGTTCTATATAAACTTTTCCCTTTGAATATTAACAATTAAAAGGAATGTCAAATAACAATGCAATAATACCTTACTTTTTTGTTAGGACGCTGCATGCGGTCAAGCCCGCACATGTAGAAATGCGGGCTTGGCAATATTTTCAAATATAATTTAAAACTAATTTTTAGAAAATATATAATCTTTAACATGGAGACCATGGATATGAAAAAAAAAATAATTGAAAACTAATATAATAATATATTAAAAAAATATTTGGATCCTTAGTTACAATTGTTTTTAAATGGACCACCTATTTCCATCCATCAAATATAAATGCTTTACACCTCTAGACCCTATATTGTAGAAATGCAGTCCGGCCCCGCACAAAATAATGTTTCTTTTTGTTATCCTATATAAGCAATAAAAGCTCTAGCTTGAAGATTATTTTACTAGTTTGTCGGATTAGAAAACCGACATTGGTTTTCACTTTTCAAGAACATGAAACAAATCCCCTGACTTGTTTTAAGGACAAAACCTGCCTTGGCAGCTAATCCCCTGCCTTGTTTTAAGGACAAAACCTGCCTTGGCAGTTACGTTGAGAGAGGCATGCCGCCCCTCTCTTTATCTCTCACTAAAGAGAGGGAGAGAGAGAACTCTTATGTCTCTTTCGACTCCTCCATCTCTCTAGAGAGAGGGCATTTAGAATTAGAAAAATAAGCTATTTCGCAAAATTTGTGAAAGCATTATTTCTTTTTATTCAATGTAGTTGAGATGGATGAGTGAAAAGACAAAAAACGATAAAATTTAAAATGAATGTATACAAGAGAGTTTAGGGGTAGCTACAATAGGCAATAAGATGAGAGAAAGTAGATTTAGATGTTCGAAAATGGCTTAGGCCCTTGGCGTTAGTATTGCTGAGCTCTATAGTGAGGTCTCTGACTCCATTTTTACCAAAAGATAAGGGCTCAAATCCCTACTAACTTACCACGTCAGGAAAAGAGCTTAGGCTTAATTAGTTAGCGAGGCTTAATTCCTAT